TTTGATGTATAAACTTGAATAATTGGAGATTTGTCTTTTTTGTACAAGTTTAATCTTTATATTTGGCAAAGTTTATGTGATTGAAAATAAGAAATTGTCAGACGACAAGTTATGTTTTTCTCCCCCTCAGCATTCGTTCAAGCGTATTGATCTTCTGAAGAATCTTACCTCATGTGCTCTAATTTTCCATATGTTTTATGGTTTTTGCATAAAGTCAACTGGTGTAGCTTCACAGAAGTTTTGTAATGGTTAAGTTGATAACGATGCAATAGTATTGATTGTATCGGCAGCATACTTCTTTCGATTCTCTCTTGTCGGCTGGTAGCAGAACAATTGGACGTACGGTTTAAATTTCCAAATTATGTTTTGCGTAACAGCGTAAGTGGAAAAAAAAAACTAGTAGCACATAAAGCATTTGACTGCATGCATGTGTCCATTAAAATTGAAACCGGTTGTACTAAATATGTCAAATATGCCACATATCTACGGTGAAGTTGCTTTCTCTCCTACGTCTACTATCCTTTTCGGTCCACGATGATTAATTATTAGTGTGCTGATAATTGACTGCGTGCATGCATGTCTCCATTAAAAAAAAACAATCGGTTGTACTGAATAATGCCAAATGTGCATACATATGTATGGTGAAGTTGCTTTCGATCTCTCGTACGACTACTATACTATCATTTTGAGTACACGAACTTATCTAGAATCGAAACGATATTGTATTTAAGAGAATCTGAGCATGCATATATGTCATCGCTCTGCTGCTCAACGCCTGAACCCAACTAGCGAGCTGTTCAACGCATGCACGGTGTCTAGGGAATGTAGTGGTAAACTTACAATATTGATATTGAGAAGCTGACCTTAGGATTCACTTCCACATTTGATTTCAGCGTTAGCTACCGAGTAGCAGAAGATTTCTAGCCAAATTGGTGCAGTCTTCTGTAACTTGATAGCATCACATCGGGTCGATTCAATTAGTGAATGAAGATATTCGGTAGCAAACAAAGGACATATATGTACTCCATACCGGTAACTACTTCTCGCTCAAAATCGGTGGGCATTTACTGGCATCATACTGATCAAGAGAGCAAGTTTAATAGTATAGCCAACTGCTAACTCCAATTCATCTGTAGCCAATCTAATAGCTCATTTATACAATAGCTATATACTACACTATTAATACCTGGTCCCACCTATCATACACACACTGTGTCTTGAAGTCCGTGCTACAGCTGGCTATAAATCTGTAGCTCACTGCTCTTCTCTTTTTATTTATCTACTTAAAATATGTTTGCAGCTGGTTTATAGCCTGCTATTTTACCTGCTCTGACATGGGAAACCCGTTGGTTCCCCCGGATTTAGGATTTCAATTAGGTTAGCTACTCATCTTCAAATCCAGAGGAAAATTAACCAAACTTGATTTTTTTGACTCTCTTTACCTGACTACAGACTACTTGAGACACTGTGGAATATGGCGCATTTTGGCCCGGCAAGAAGAAAATTTGCGGGAGGATTTCGCGTGGGAATAAGGTCACCAAAGGTCCCTCAACTTAACAGCGAGATTTTTTGACATCTCTTAACTACAAAACCAGAAATGTATACCTCTAAACTCCCTCAAACCGTTCACCGGAGGTCCCTCGGTAGTATTTTTAACTGGTTTTGCAGACGTGGTATCCTAGTCAGCAAAAAAAATAAAAAATTATATGGGGCCCACATGTCAGTTGCATCCCAGTCTCTTTTCCTTTTTCTCTTCTCTTTCGGCGTGTGCGCACCGCGGCGACCTCTTCGCCTCAGGCCGGGCGGCGGCTGGAGCAGGCGGAGGGGCGGCGTCAGTGGGCGAGCGCGGCTGCAGCAGCGGCAAGCGGCGGGCGAGCGCAACCGCTGAGGGCGAGTGGCAGCGGGCGGCGGCGCGCGGCCGGAGCAAGCGGAGGAGCGGCGTCGGCGGCTGCAGGCAGCGGTCTGGGCCCGGGGACGCGAGGAAGAAGGCGCCGTCGAGGGCGCGCGCGCCGGCGTAGAGCGTGGCGAGGACGCGCGCGGCGAGCCCTGCGGGCACGCGGAGGAGGACGAGTTGAGGAAATCCACCATCGTGCATCTCGATCGCGTACGCACTTCAGCCGGCGGTGCCCCCCGGCGTCACGCAGGTGGACGTCCGCTTCGTGTTCTGCTCCGTGACCGATGTTTGACGATATTTTGTCATTTTACGCTAAGCAAACAAGATTACTATTTATCATAGAAGCTAGCTCGCTGGTTTTTATGAGATGCATGGGCCATGCAAACTGCGCATGTATTAGTGTATATGCATCTATATATGTGGCTAACCATATGACTCATAAGCATTAGGCGGGGGTCTGCAGCTGGCGGCCGGTGAGAGCGACGGCGGTGGCAGCGGGGTCGGCCGCTCCGCCGTAGCCCGCCGCCCGCATCCGTGCTCGCCCATGGCCGCTTTGCCCGCCGCCGGCAAAGAGTGAAGAGAGAAAAGAGAAGAGAAGGAGAAGAAAAGAGAAGAAAAAAATCGATGCGTTCCCGGCGGTGCGGCGGCTCGACTTCGAGCTCGCGCCGTTCGACGCATCGGAGTCACCAAGGCATGGGTGCTCGGCTCGCTCGGGGAAGTCGGCGTCGTCGCCTCCACCTCCACCTCCACCTCCGCCGCCTCGGGTTCAAGTGCAACAGCGCCGTGTGGCGCGCCGGCCGCCGCTGCCTCTCTGCTCTGCCGGCCGCGCGCTCGCTCGCTGCCGCCGCCACCCCACTCCACTCCGCTGGTCGTCGCTAGCTCGCCCGCCTGCGGTCGCGTTTGCCCGCCGCTTGCCGCAGCCGCAGGCCGCAGCCGCGCTCGCCCACTGACGCTGAAAGAGAAGAAGAGAAAAAGGAAAAAGAGACTGGGATGCAGCTGACATGTGGGTCCCACGTAATTTTTAAAATTATTTTTGTTGACTAGGATGCCACGTCAGTAAAACCGGATAAAAATACTGCCGAGGGACCTCCGGTGAACGGTTTGAGGAAGTTTAGGGGTATACATTTCTGATTTTGTAGTTAAAGGATGTCAAAAAATCTCGCTGTTAAGTTAAGGAACTTCGGTGACCTTATTCCTTTCGCGTGTGGCCTGCGGGGTTGGGTTACGTGGGCTTCAAGTGGATCACCTATCTCCGGTCCAGTTCATATTGGCCCAATTAAGTCACTACCCTTTGATGGGCCTAAAGGATTGCAACCAGTGTAGGGAATTGGAAAAGGTACATCCAAGGTCCCTCAACTTGTCATCGAGTTACAAAATCGTCCTCCAACCACAAAATCAGATATATGGCGTCCCTTAACTAATCAAAACTAATTACAATAGGTTCTTCAGTGGTTTTGACCCCGATTTTGGTCTAAGTGGCGGCTGAGTCATCATGGGACCCACTTGTGCCTCACATGTCAGCATGCCATGTCATCTCTCTTTCCCCTCTTCTCTCCCTTCCTTTAGGTGGGGCCCACTTGTCAGTGTTTCTTCTACCTCCTTCACTGCGCCAACACAGAGAGGAGAGGGAGAGGTAGCTGGGGAGGAGGGCGGCGCCGCGACGCCGGCCGCCGGCGGTGGCGGTGGCGGCCGCAGTGGGGAGGCGGCGGCTGGAGGCAGCGCTCGGGCTAGGACGGCAGCCGGCGGTGGAGGAGCAAGGAAGGACTGCGACTGGCGACGATGGATTTGAAGGAGAGAGAGGAGCTCGCCGGCCATGGCGACCTCGGCTGAGCCACAGCGCGCGGCACCCCCAGCCGGGGTACTCGTCGCGGCAGAGCTCGGCGAGGTGCCTGAGTGCCTCCCCGTGGCGACGCACACCCTGCCGACGAGCAGCTGCACGAGGAGGCCCACGGCGGTCGCCCACATGAGCAGCCACAGTAGCGTTGTCGGAGGAGGAATTGCCTGAAAGAACATGTCCAGCGAGATTGACGATTTGCCTGAAAAAAACTTATCCAGCTTATTTTCCTTCAACAATTTCCTGTACCCATGCGAAAACTGACAGCGGCAAAGGGAACGCCAGACTGAATACCACATCTTCGAACAAGAACAGGTAGGCGAAAAAAACTGACCAATATCAAGCACAAAATGCAACTATCACATCCATGACCACATATTGAAGCTCGATTGAAGCTGCTTTGTCACTTCTGTGATTATGCTATTGTGGTCCAGGACTCTTCTGGACTTCATGATTCTGACAATTGCAGCCTCAATTTGAGGTTTTATGTCTTCCTCAACTCTCTGGCAAGTTTCCAACTTCTCTGGTTCTGTTTCTTTCTAAGCAACCACGGTGCCAATCTTTACCTTGACCAACTTGCTTGTGGACTTGTCATTGTAGTAAGTGTCATCTTCAGATATATCTTGCTCATGGGTTCCTTCCGCAACACATTCTTACTCTTAACACAAGCAAGAGACTGGAGGCAGCGTTTCAGATCAGCATGTGGTATACCAGTGGCCTGCTCAATGTCACCGTAAGTCAAGCCGTTCGCCACGATGTAGAGCGTGCCCACGCCGCCGAAGCCGTCCGCTGGGCCGCCGCTCCCCACCGCGCTCACCTGCCGACGCCGCCGCTTCGCTTGCTCTGGCCGCCCTTCTGGTATGGCGGTGGCTCCTTCCCCAGCGGCGGCAGTCCGGCCTCGCCCCGCCGGCCTTGCCCCACCTGCCTCCTCCCTTCCCGTCGGCTAGCCTATGCAAAGAAGTGAGAGAGAGAAGGGAGAGAAGAGGGGAAAGAGAGATGACGTGGCATGCTGACACGTAGGATCCACATGGGTCCTACGATGACTCAGCCGTCACGTAGGCCAAAACCAGAGTCAAAACCACCGAATGACCTATTGTAACCGGTTTTGATTAGTTAAAGGACACCGGATATCTGGTTTGCGGTTAGGGGACGATTTTGTAACTCGATGACAAGTTGAGGAACCTTGGATGTACTTTTTCCTAGGGAATTCCCCAGTGTAGTGTTCAAATACTAATGGGCCCAACTGGACGCTACACTTGCTAGCGATCTAAATATTTGCAAAGTGCCCTGTTTTATTTTCAAGGAAACAGAGTTATAAATTCCGTTATTGTTCAGTATTCACTGCCAAAGTGCCAAGGCAGAGTTACACGTACGTTGCTGAATCTTGAGCAGCTGTGCTTATTACCACAAAACTATATGCTGGCCGTACGTTCCCATGCATGCATGCGGTTTTGCATTTGACATGAGCAGCTAGCTTATTCCAAATCCAAATGTAATATTAGTATATCACTCTTGTCTAGTGGAATCTAATTTTGTAGGACGGCGACTTGTTGGGGTTGAACAGCCCGAAGTGCCTCTCGGTCTCAGCCCCGGTCTTCTGGTTCTCGTTGAACATGGCGAACACGTACGTCTCCAACGCCACCCCTGGTCTCTTCGGAGTGCCTCCTTGGACATGGCTGATAAGCTTCTGGTTGTACGTCTGCGCGTTGCTCACGCTGGCCCCGAACCCACCGGCCGACGGCCACCCGGTCTCCGACACCACCACGCCGACGTCCGGCGCGCCGGCGTCCTCCAGCGCGGCGTAGACGGAATCCACCATCGCGTCGAAGAGGCTCGTGTAGATCAGCCCGCTGCCGTCGTCCGTCACCGTCGTGCCCGGCTGGAACGTGGCGTAGTTGAGGCTGATGTCTTTCGTGTCGCCGACGTAGGCGAAGTAGGGGTACACGTTAACCAGCAGCGGCGCTCCGGTGCTCGCCAGGTACTCCACGATGTCAAACATGTAGTCGTCGTTGAAGACGCCGTTGGAAGGCGGGTAGGAGTTGGCGATCACGCCCTGGGACACCGACGTCGACACCCCGACGCCGCCGAGGCCGGCCGCGGCGAGCGCGGCGTTGAGGTTCTTCATGGCCGGGAGGATGTTGCCCGTGTCGTCGCCGGTGACCTCGTTGCCGACGGCGATGTAGCGGAAGGAGACGCCCGGGTAGGCCTGGACGTTCTGCTTGACCCAGGCGGCCGCGGCGGTGGCGTCGGCGGCGAACGCGGCGAGGTTCTCGTTGGCGACGTCCATGGTGAGGGCGATGTTCGAGCCGGTGAGTGCCTGGAGGATGTCGCTCCTCGGGAAGTAGATGCGCATGGAGTCGATCCCCTTGGACTTGTAGAGCTTCACGACGTCGCTCGCCGCCGGCAGGTTGTTGCCGATCACGCCGTAGCACACGCCAATGGACTGAACCGCTGTTAATTTGTCAACAGAGCAAGCGTACATGTAACATGAACCAAGAGTTAGTTAATTAGTACACTTAATTATTATGTGGAGCACACATGCTCTGTACTCGCACGCTGCTGAATAACATGCATGTACTATATGCTGCAGTATACCTGCAGGAAATGCTGCAAGGAGCAATGCTACTGCAAGCACGGGAGCAAATCCTTGCGTAGTCATCTTCGCTTATTTTGCAGCTGCTGCAAGTATCTCTAGTCACGATCACTCTCTATTTATATGGAGAGATTTAGGCATGCAACAAGTCCGTAGCATTATCCAGTTCGGTACATCACACGTTCTTCTCACATCCATGACACTAGCTCCAGCAGCTTGCTGATCGATTTCCAATTTCCACACCACCAGTAGTACTCCACTACCGATGGACCAAGTGTCCGCCACCGCACTACGCAGCCAACCCAACTAAATTAACGCTAAGAGCAAGTTTAGCCCACTATTGGCTCTAAATCATTTATAGTCAATTTAATAGCCAATTCATATAATATTAATAGTTATCTATAAACATTTACTTCCTCCGTTTCAAGTTATAAGACGTTTTGACTTTAGTCAAAATCAAACTGCTTTAAATTTAATTAAGTTTGTAAAAAAAAAGTAGTACCATTTTTAACCAAGACAAATTTATTATAAAAATATATTCAATTTGATTTGATGAAACTAATTTAGTATTATAAATATTATAAACTTAGTTAAACTTGAAATAATTTGACTTCTATCAAAGTCAAAACGTCTTATAAGCTGAAACGGAGGGAGTATTATATTATTAACGTCTGGTCCCACCTGTCATAGATTTATACACACATGCATCTTAAAGTCTTTGCTGTAGGTGGTTACAAATCTGTAGCCCGCTGCTCTTATTTTTTTCTTTTATCTTCTTAAAATATGTTTATAGCTGGTTTATAGTCTAATATTGTACATGCTTTAAATAAGCCAACTGGATGAACGTGCGCGGGACGGTGTCACAGTCTGGTCAAGCCTAATTCGCAACCACGCATGCACAATTTGCACATACGACGACGACGACTCAATCGCTAGCTAGCGATGGCCACCACTGGCCAGTCGTCGACCAGTCGTGCTCGCTTGGAAAACCGGACGACGCGCGCACGCATCATGCACCGTTAGCCGCGCGCGAGCATGCGTTCGTGCACGACGGGATAAAATCGAGCAGTTGCTTGTCCGGCTCGTGGAATTCCGGTGTTTTTGACGTTGTTTGGTCGTGGCGGCCTCAAACAGCAACGGTTTTGTTGCTGTCTTGCTTGGTTCGACTTTTTACTTGTACGTATACGTGCTTGGTGCTGGACAGGCCGGTGTACGTGCACACTAGCTCCCATCCGCCGTTTTGCACGGTGAGACAAACGCGTCAGAGTGTGCGCCACACCGTAACATAGGCCAAAGTGCACGGCACTCTAGCTAGCAAGTGCAACACGTACGGTACTGTTTGTACTACTAAGATCATCACGTACGTTACGACTGAATCAAATTAACGCGCATCGTTGAGTGAGAGAAATATAACATGCTACATGGTCTGCTCTGTATGAGACATTAATCATACTACGCGAAAATAGGTCTGGTAAACTTTATTCAAGTTCATATTATTTGTCTCTGCACCGTTACATGCATGCATTGAGCTTTGCAATATGCAGGCAGAAAGCTTATTCAAACCCAAACTATATATGGAACGCGTGTATGTATATATCTATATCGATCGACGTTTAATTCATCATCGATCGATCTCTTCTCAGAACAATCTTCTTAGAAATTGATGGAGTATGCCGGCGACTGGTCCGGGTTGAAGAGGCCGAAGTGCCTCTCCGTCTCGTCGCCTCCCTTCTGGTTCTCGTTGAACATGGCGAAAATGTAGGTCTCGATGCTCCCGGGCCTCTTGGGCGTCCCCTGCCCGACGTGGTTGATCAGGTTCTGGTTGTACGTCTGCGCGTTGCCGGCGCTCGCCGCCGTGCCGCCGGCCGACGGCCACCCGCTCTCCGACACCACGATCGGGACGCTCCCGGCGCCGGCGCTCTCCAGCGCGGAGTAGAACGTGTCGACGATGGCGTCGAACAGGTTCTGGTACGCGTTGCCGCCGTCCTGCACCACCGTGCCCGGCGACGTGAAGAGCGCGTAGTTGATGTCGATCTGGGCCTGGTTGCCCACGTAGGCGAAGTAGGGGTAGACGTTGGCGAGCAGCGGCGCGCCGGTGCTCGCCAGGTACTGAGCTATGGGCCCCATGTGCGAGGCGGAGAACGTGCCGGCGGACGGCGGGAAGCCGGCGGTCACGCCCTGGGACACCGACGTCGACACCTTGATGTTGCCGAGGCCGGCGGCGGAGAGGGCGCTGTTCATGTTCTGCATGGCCGGGAGGATGTTCTGCGTGTCGCCGCCGGAAACCTCGTTGCCGACCGTGATGTAGCGGAAGTTGACGCCCGGGAACGCCTGGATGTTGTTCTGGACGAAGGCGGCGGCGGCGGAGGGGTCGGAGGCGAGGGAGCCGAGCTGATCGTTGCCGACGTCCATGGTGAGGGCGATGCTTGAGCCGCTGAGGGCCTGGAGGATGTCGCTTCTTGGGAAGTAGATGCGCATGGAGTCGATGCCGTTGGACTTGTAGAGCTGCACGACGTCGCTCGGCGACGGCAGGTTGTTCCCGATCACGCCGTAGCACACGCCGATAGATTGCACCACTGTGTTTGATTTGATATATTAGACTCCTTTTTGTTTGGGAGTGGATTATTAATCCCTTTAGAGAATATTCCATCTTATAACTTTTTTTTCCAAATTCAACACAAATAGTTAAGAAAAAATTTAATCAAATTAATAATATAGAGTACAGTAACATGTACCACTACACCAAAAATCAAGTTCAAATTTCACCATCCACATTAAGAAAAAAAAGAAGATAAATTTCGTTCGTATTTATCTTTTTTTATACCATAATGTGTGATGAGTTGTGTTAGGATCTAAAATTTAGTGAATTAGTATATACATATTTTCTATGAATGTCGTCAATCTGTTTCAGAAATTTCCATAACTATTTGAATGGGTTTTAAACAAACGAGAGGACTAAGAGTTTTAGACAAACCGAATTTTATTAAGACAATATACAATTATTACCTGTAGGAATGGCCGCAACTCCAAGGACCAATGCCAGTGTTAAAACGGAAGCAACGCCATGCTTTGCCATCTTGAAGCGCTTAATAATTTTCAGGCGCCACTAGCTAAGGTTGCTCGGTACGTTGTACGTGTCTGCTACGGAGGCTGCAGGACTTCGCATGCAGATCGATGCGATGTAACAAAAGCATTCACCCCCTATTTATACAAGTTCCTGGCAGGCATGCATGTACCATGCAATTGTTGGCGCCCGTTTCCACCCGCTACGTGCTAGTATACGATATCGAGCGTAGAGACAAGCGTGGTCGCGATCCGCACCGGCCTAATTCTACAAGATAGTAGTGGTATCTCGCTATAGAAAATGCGTACACGCGCGCGCAAGACTGCAGCGAAACGAGGTCGTCGTCCACCAATCGCGGCCGTAAAAACAAAAGCTCGTTAGCTGTCGACCGGGGGCCGCGTTCGTGGAATTCCAGGGCGGTCTGACCCGTCGTCTGGGCTGGTAGTGGCTGGGAAGAAGAAGGGGGAGATGATCACTGTACCTTGTGATTGGAGTTATGGCTGTAGAAGAAGAGGCCGGGGAGAGGAGAGGAGAACTGGAGAAGGTCGCATCGATCGCACAAGAGAACGAAGGTCCACTTGCTTGCTTGCTGGATTGCCCAACTCTCTTCTTCGCGGCGGGCGGGAGACGGTAGTGCGGCAGGATGCGGACACGTCGGTCTCAACCGAGAATTGCCGTAGACAGATCGGGCGGCTTTGCTCACGAGAGTTCTCACTCGTACATAGGAAATAAGTTCAATTTAGGTCCCACTCGCCCATTCTAATTTTCGTCCTTTATCCTAAAAACCAGGTCCAACACATCCCTCAAATTACAAAATCATGCAAACGAGATCCCTCGATAGTATTGTTCCTGGTTTTAATTGACTTGGCGTCTACATGACTCCTTTGACTAGATCTTCGTCCCACGTGGTATTAACGTGACGCTTTCGTGGCAGTTTGACAAAAAAAATAAACGAAACAAAGTAAAAAAACTAATAAAATAAAATAAAATATGCGGGACCCATACATCAGCCAAACAAAAACAATAAAAAATAGTGGGACCCACATATGAGTGGGTCCCACTTCCTCCACCTCACCATCTTCCTCTCTCTTCCAATCCTCTTCGCGGCCTCCATCCTCCATCCTCACCCCACTCCTACAGCGGCGGAGTCGAAGCAGGTGACCGTCGACCACCTGTGGTCTGCGGGCTCCAAGAACGCCGGTGGCAGCAAGAGCAAGAGGCAGTAGAGCGACAACGATTTTGACTTTGATGACGCAAAGGAGGAGGAAGAACACTCCCCCTCTCTGCAATGGGCGTGAGGCGAGGATGGCGAGTGCATCGGGCGTGGAACGACCACTTTCCTTTCCCAACAGATCTCCACATCCTCGGCTCCAACTCCGCCGCCGGCGACAAGACTAGTTGCTCCACCGCCGCCACCGACGCCCCACCTATGCTTTTGCGCGGCGGAGGACCGGCCGCCCCCGCCATCCCTCGCTCCCGCCTTGTCTCCTATCGCCTCCATCCTCGCCATGTGGAGGAAATGCAGAGGCGGCGCCAAGCTGGCAGGTAGTCACCCGCTTCGATGCCGTCGCCGCGCCTGATGGGCCATCGTCGACCCCGTTATCCCCCGCTCCCACCCCGTCCGTCGGAGAAAATGCTGCAAAGGATTGGAAGGGAGGGGAACAGGGTAAGAATGAGATGGACGAAGTGAGACCCACTAACATATGGTCTTGCTATTTTTAATTTTTTGGTTTGACTGACGTATGGGACCCCATTTTTTGTTTTAATTTTTGTTTCTTTTATTTTTATTTTCGATCAAATTGCCACGTAAGCGCCACTTTAATGCAATGTGGGACAGACCACATGAGCCACATAGGCGCCATGACAACTAAAACCGGAGGCAATACTTTCGAGGGGCCTTGTTTGCGTTGGTTTGTAAGTTGAGGATATGTTGTATCTGGTTTTTCTGATTAAGGATGAAAATCGTTGGGGGAGTCGAGATATCCGGTACTATGATTCAATACGAATCAGATTAGTCCAGTAGTTAAAGGAGTCAAAGTGAACTTATTCCAACGGAGGAAGCCAGTAGAGGAATACACGCGAAATAGCCCATTAAATTGCGCCGAGGCTCGAGGTAGAGGCCAATGTAGGCTCACTAAGGAAAGCCCACCACATGCAGCAGTCCGGCCTCCGCGATACGCTGTCCCCTCGCCTTCCTGCCGTCTGAACTCTGAATAACGATCCTTCACGGCTTTACGCCTGGAGGTTTGGGTGCAATAGGAATTGCGCCAGTGTATGTACGGGCGTACGGCTGCGACAAAAAGGGTGTAATTCTGGTCAAGCTTGCTAGCTCCTACGGAATCGCTCAGAATCGCAACTAGCAGATAAGCAGATCCATGATCTTGCATTGGGCTCTTGGCGTAGAATGAACGCGCTAGCTTGATGTGCATGTATGATCTCTCTGTAAATTAAAGTTGCTTCATGGGTCATGATAATTGACAACTGACAAGCAAGTTTCAAGTAGTATTTCGGTATTTGATACGATTCTGAAACAAAGCAGATTTGAACTCAGGACGATTCTTCTAGTAGCAGACTCCTCTCCAGCTGTAACCTGCACAGCTGAGCTGAGCCGTCTTAAGGCTGCACATTCCTCCATCTGATGTTCTAAACTACAGGCCACGTACACCAATCATTTCTCTAACCTCTGAATGCTTGGGCCTATGACTATTGACTAAATTAATTGGCTCTTGCATCCATTGCATAATTTGTCAATCCAACGGAAGCATTTGCAAGGCGATGATCACATATAAGGAACAAGAAAAACCGAGATGCTTTTTCTGCTCTTCCACTCTACTGTACCTCCCTCTTTGGCCTGTTTCTAGTGCGCGGAGCAGCAGCAACAAGAACTCCCTCCTTCTCCACTGGCGCCGGCTGCTCGGCGTCCTCCTCCTCTTCTTCGCCTCCGCCGTCTTGCTCGAAGTCCTCATTCTCTTCCATTATCGCTTTGTTGGACTCCATCTACACATGGGCAAATTTAAGACGATCTTGAATTGACAGTAACCTGCTAATTCGACGAGATGTCTCTTCAACACCGATCGAATGCGAGCAGCGCGGCGCACCTCGCGTAGGAAGCGCTCGTCGAGGTCGTCGGCGACGCGGGCGGCGGTGATGAGCGTGCCGACGAAGAGGGAGAGCGGCAGGACGAACGCCAGGATGAGCGCGTTCGTGCTCGGCGGCCCGCCGGCCCGCACGACCATGGACCGCCGCCGCCGCCGCCAGCCGCCCGCTGCCGGCGTAGCCGATACACGGACAGGCCTCCCAGAGCACGGCGTAGCGCTCGCGCCGACGCGCGCCGGGGAGGAGAGAGCAGCGAGACCTCGCGCCGCCATGGATGGTAGCGAAGGCCACACACACAGCACAGCACAGGCAAGCAGAAGCAGAGCAGCAGAGTGAGCGACGCGGCGGAGCACGGTGGTTTGTCTTATCCATTTCTATCCTCCTCCGCGCCACGTCGCTCCGCTTACCACAGCCGTCCGATCTTTACGACATCCGGATGCCGAATGGGCCACCTATTGGGCTACGGGCTACGGCCCACACGTAATACCTGATGGGCTAATTTCATCCTAGAAGCCCATTAGGCCTCACTTATGTAGATGGGCCTATTTCAATTTCTTCATGGAAAAAGTACACAGGAGGTCCCTCAACTTGTAATCGAGTTACAAAATCATCCTCAAACACAAAACCAGATATCCGGTGTTCCTTAACTAATCAAAACCAGTCACAATAGTTCATTCGGTTGTTTTCACTCCGGTTTTATCCTACGTGACGGCTGAGTCAGCGTGGGACCCACATGGGCCCCCCATCCGGATACCGAATGGGCTACGGGCTACGGCCTACACGTAATTGCTGATGGGCTAATTTCATCCTAGATGCCCATTTAGGCCTCGCTCATGTACATGGGCCTAAATTGCCTTAGCCGATTTCAATTTCTTCATCGTGTTCGGCAAAAAAACAGTATAATGATCGTGCGTATATATGTCGTTTTCGGGTATATGTAAAAGAAAGAGCACAAAAAAAAGTCGCCTCAAGCATAAGGTAGTTCTAATTAACACACGGGGGGTATGTACTTGTGCTAATTAGGTCGTGTGTTTTTGACAGCGACAAGACCGGAACATGTCGCAAACGGATCGATCTCGATGCCGACGTTGCCAGCGTTCCTGGCCATGGATCATCACCGGCCAAAAGCTACGTCGCCTGTCGCGATTGCATGCCCAAATCCTAGCTACTAATAATAATAGCTTAATTCGATCATCAGCTACTTGATTATGCCTCTTTCGCTTTCGCTGTGTTCTTCTACCGCCGTCGTCACGTCGGACGTCCATTCCTGCCGTAATTGCTACCGTCACGCAGTCGTGCTCCCTGACGTATACATGTGTTAAGATCAAAATTTTACTCCAGAAAATTTTTAGTCGTTCAAGTGGACTGAGATAACCGAGAACGGGCACTTTACGAAGTACTTTGGTTAGTGCAGCCACTGGTACTTGATTAATTAGCTAATTTGGTTGATGCAGCTAGCTGAGCTGGTAGCCAGCCATCGCTAGCTCCCCCTGTGATTGGGAGATTTCTTTCCTTACTGCCTATAGTACGTATATATCGGCTATACTACTCCCTCCGCCCCCCCCCCCCAACCCCTCGAAAAAAAAAGACAAATCCTGAGTTTCCGTGTCCAATATTTAACTATTTAAAAAAGTTATGAAAAAAAAAGACAAGTCACGCATAAAGTATTAATCATGTTTTATCATCTAAAAATAATGAAAATGCTAATTATAAAATAATTTCATATAAGACGGACAGTCAAACGTTGGACACAGAAACTCAGGTTCGTCTTTTTTTTTTCGACGGAGAGTACTTGTTAGCGTGGCTGTGCAAACTAAATTATTTGCATGCTACCGCCATACTCCCTCCCTAAAAAAAAAGGTAAATCCTAGTTTTCCGTGTCCAGCTTTAACTGTCCGTCTTATATGAAATTTTTTTATAATTTATATTTTCATTATTGTTAGATGATAAAACATGATTAATATTTTATGCGTGACTTGTCTTTTTAATTTTTTTTTATAATTTTTTCAAATAAGACGGACAGTCAAACGTTGGACACGGAACCAAGCGTTTGTCCTTTTTTGGGACGGAGGGAGTAGCTTGTAGGTCAACAACAGTCAAGGTGAGCTGCATGTGCTACCTAAACAACAGATTGTGTTAGTACATCATCTTCAGCTGAAAAGATTGATTTCATTTTTTTTTCAATACGTACACTGCTAGTAGTTTCATCACTGCTAGCAATACTCCTGCTAGTACGAGTATTCGTTTGGGTATTAATGTTTGAATAATACTTTCTTCGTTTCAAGTTATAAGACTTTTTAGCACTGCCCATATTTATGCATATGTTAATGATTATATATATGCAGATCATCTTATAACAAAAACGGAGGTAGTATAATGGTACGAGACGCACGCTTCACATCGCGGCTAAATTCAATTAGGAAATCAATTGTGTAACTAGTTCTTTTCTTGAGACAATCAGACAAATGTACTAATATGCAGATCATGATTTTGTTTTACATGAGTACGCAGTTTCAGTTGGTTAAACCCTCAAACGCACCGAGCCAAGTGGGCCGGGCTTGCGCAATCAATAATATTGTATAGGTGTATAAAACCTAGTAAAGCAAAGCCAATAATCCCCACTGCATCTATATAAAGGACGCAATACAAAGAAAGTAAAGAAAATCAATAATTAATTAGCTTGCAGCTGTCGCAACTTGCAAGGGAGCAGAGGCACCATCCATGTCAGAAAACCTTCAGAGAGATCAACGCGATCTGCAATTATAATCAGCATGGTATGGTATGAGCTGGATGCTTCGATGGATGTTTTCTCCTGCAAGACAAAATAAGTGCAATGAGCATCTAGTACATCACTTCGCCCTGACCCCATAATTCATTTCCGCTGCAAAATAAACTGCCAAAACTCTCTCTTGCACTGTCTCGCTGGATCATTAGACATGGACAGAGAATCGTTGTAATGTACCCCATGTAGCTTGAGAGGGACAGTGATATATATATATAATCATGCATGCATAATTGTATGTACCTATCTCTATGTGTGTATGCATATCTATATACTTCCTCCATTTCATATTATAAGACTTTCTAGCATTATCCATATTCAAATATATGTTAATGAATCTATACATATATGTGTGTGTCTAGATTCATTAACATTTATATATAAATGTGAGCAATGCTAGAAAGTCTTATAAGCTGAAACGGAGGTAGTACGTGTGTACGTATCTGTATGCGACAACGACGACATTGTAGTTAATTTGGAACATATATATAAGCTAGTTTCTCTATACTCCATTATGCATGAGACTGTGTAAGTGTGTATATGTATGCGCGTACAGATCGATCGAGCCACATCGTCATCACGTGTACACATATGTTTTGTACGCATACGCGGCGTCCCTTTCGGCATGGGGGCAAGTAGTTGGTAAGCCTTTGTTCCTTCTACGAGCTAGCTCTTTATTCTATAGAATACTGCAGTAGTACGTAGTAGTACTACTAGTACTGTACTGTGTATAAGTTCGGTATAGAAGTAGCAGTACTGCATGGCTAGCTAGCTCTACCACCGTGCAAGAGGTTGGATAGCAGTAGTAGAAGCTCTCATACGTCAACTTTAATTGCAGGGAAAGTGGTTTAAACTTTCGTACTAGATGTTTTGTTCAAACATCATTTAAATAGTTGTTAAAATTCTTTTAAAAATCTAACAACATTCACACCATATTAATAAACTACCCCATAAAAAATTAAGTTAAAACTCAACTCACGCATTGAGAAATAAAAAAAGATAAATGTAGCAAGTGAACAGTGTTGGTACTATTCATATATGAATATGATTTTTAGTGGATTAGAAATTTTCATAACTATTTACATTGAATTTGAAAAAAAAAACCTACACGAGAGGCATTCTCTTGAGGATTAGAATGCTCACCCTTAATGGCCCACCGCCCATGCAAACAAAGGCAAAAAGGCTGGTAAAACGACAGCTACATACATGACATGAACGTTTTATCGTGTGGTGTGGTCGAAGATCTCGTTGTCGACCGGCCTAGCTATTTGTATGCGTGCATGGCTGCTTACTTTAGCTTGGGACATCTGTAAAGCCAGTGTATATTGGTAGACGATGCATGGGCAAGATAGAGTAATTTTAGATGCATGCTTTGATTCCCTTTTCATTCACTGGCCGGCCGTGGCCTGCGTGCATGATAAGATGTTCCAACTGCTGCTAGCTATAGCTCCTGTAAGAGCAAGTTTAATAATATAGCCCACTACTGGCTCCAATTCATCTATAACTAATCTAATAGCTCATTTATACAATAGTTACATACTACACTATTAATATCTGGTCCCACCTGTCATACACACGCTGCGTCTTGGAGTCCGTACTATAGCTGGCTACAAATCTGTAGCCCGCTGCCCTTCTGTCTCCTCATTTATCTGCTTAAAATATGTGTGCAGCTGGCTTATAGCTTGCTATTGTACCTGCTCTTGGCATCACCAATGTATATAGCAAAATTGGTTTATATAGATGAGACCCACATAAATAAACTTTAACTATAACAATCCTCACAATATATATGAATACAATGTGACATTAGGAGAAGAGAGAGAATTAGAGATAGATAATATTATTTATCTCATATGGGTAGTACATATACATATAGATACCTTTTACTATTTTCTTTATATGGACTAGCTGCACAATGTTACTACTAGGTGGTTCAATGGAATAGTTTATTTCCTATGGACTACTTTTGTAGTACATTGTAGATGCTCTAAGGCTGTAACTAGATTTTAATAGTAGTATAAGGCACGCATTTAGCTTAACTATTTTTTTAGATAATACTTGCTAGTAGAAAGTATAGATTTATCGCAGGGATCGGAAGAGATAATATGCCATTTTTATTGTTCATCTTTCTTCAATTCACATCACATGCATGGATCTTTCGGTCGATCGGCTGGCCGGTCGGCACTGATCGATCGGGGATAGCATGGGGCTGACTCACGCGGTATGTTTTATATATATAGTAAATGCCCCCAATTAAACCAGCATATATGTATAATAATTGCATAGTAGCTAACTAGCTACTGTACTAATTAGAGCAAGTCTAATAGTATAGTCTACTACTGGCTCCAATTCATATATAACTAATCTAATAGCCAATTTATATAATTAGTTGCGTACTATACTATTAATATATGGTCCCATCTGTCAAACACATATTGCGTTTTAGAGTCCGTGCTGCAGCTAGCTACAGATCTGTAGCCCGTTACTCTTCTCTCTCATATTTTATCTCATTAAAATATGTTTGCAGCTGACTAATAGTCTGCTATTGTACTTGCTCTTATGGATAC